GTGTACCAGTATCTGCTACTTCTGTAAAACAGTTTCTTTCCTACTTTGACTGGGTTTACGCCAGTGTGATTTATAATCTGGAAAATACGGTACTGAGTTTAAAAATGTGTAAAAACAATTTTTTGCAATACAAAAAACAAAAACAAAACAAGTACTTAGCTACAAATACACAAAAAACTACAAGAATATTACAAAATATAGCTCTAAGTGAAATATATGTCATTTGGTGTTTGGTGTTCCTGAGAGGACCACGCTCCACAGTCTTGAACACCTTATTACCACGGTTTGTTCCTGTTCCCGTCAGAAAACTTGACATTTTTTTTCTCCCTCTCTTGTAGAAACTGCAGCCTGAAAAATCCTGATTCTGCTTCAGCGACGTGACGTGGCATCACCATATTACAGCCTTTGCATCAGCGCCACCCTCAGTGTTGTGGTAACCATTTACTTGAGTGCCTGCCATGTGTATTCTGCTATACACTAATACTCACTGTGTGCATACCTAAAAGAAAATGTACTCTACGCAGCAAAGGGTGAAAAAAAAAACCCTGAACGACACCTTTATTATATTACTCTACGTGCAGGAAGTGCAACTGAAAAAATCATTTTAAAGTATTTTCTCCTTATCTGGACGGCAAGTGGAATGTAACAAGGCTGTAGGAGGCGCTAGACAAGTATCCTGTGGGTCTACAGTACCAGCTGTACTACAGTAGTAGTATTTTCTTTTAGGGTTTTTTTTATTTTATTTTTTTAAAACTTTTACTTGACATCATGTTCCTTTACATTTTTTTGGTGCTCATTGCTACCACCTACTGGTAAGCTGAAGCTTGTGCCCGCGCCTTACATGAATAGGGCAGTGTCATCAACAAAAGACATCACTGTTCCAGCACCAGCTGTATTTAAGTTTTAAGTTCATTTTTATTTTCATTGATCACATGAGAGCGGCAGCTTGAGTTCACACGTAGTGTTTTTATATTCTGTATATGGAATTATGGGTATATAGGTTTATGGGATTAACCAGAAAATTGGAAATACATTTGCATCCTACTGAATTTAAAATTTAAAATGTTTTATCCCTTTACTTGTAACGTTGAGTTTATTCAACATTAATAAACAAAAACCATCATTTAGATCACGTAAAAGGTTTATTTCCGGCAGCCTAAGACTGCGACAGCGCCACCTATGAGTGTTGATCCAGGATTGGCTAAGACTGAAGCTACAGTTGAACGTCCACCAGGTCAGTTTTAGTTTGAAATTTTTTTTTCCTCCTGCAAATTCTTTGTTTTGGGGNNNNTTTGTTTTGGGGGCTGTTAGTGTCAGTAACCGGCCACCAGGAGGCGGTGTCCACTCATAACATGCAGCGGTCTTTGCTGGTTGGCTTGACGAAGTCAAGTGGCTGCAGCTGTGCATGTTCACTACCACCGTGTGTGTGCGTGTGCGCGCGCCCGTGTGTGTCTATCTTGTAAATATTCTGGACTCAGACTCAGAAACGCAGCGGAGAAAAGTTTGATGTTTGTTCTAAAAATAAAAACGTACCAAAAATCCTCAGCTGTTCCTTCAGCGGCGTCTGTTCTTTCTCTCACTGATGAGAATGAATGAAGTTTAGTTTCTTCTCATCATCAGCATTGGTTGAAATCACCTGTGCTGTTAGCTGTTAGCTGTTAGCTGTTAGCTCCAGGCAGAGACACGGCTGTGTGTGTGAGTCCAATCAGTCGGACTCACGGGTATAAAGGCAGCCGCTGCCCGACACCTCAGTTTGGTCTCGGCTGCTGGGGAGGGTCGGTGACTCGGTGGGGAGGGTCGGTGATTTATTGTGTTTTAAAGGCAGAAAGAATTATTGTTTTATTTGTTGCTGACTTTTTTTTCTTTTCTTGTTGTTTGGAGGGAATTTAATTTCACGTCCTTTTTTTTAAAAAAAAAAACACATTTAATCCTGTGTTTTTAATGCAGTGAAATGTTTGTCCTCGTCTCGTGGTGTGGCCCCTGTCCCCCCCCACCCCCACACCACCCCCCCAAT